AGTCTTAAGTGTAGGAGTCATAGTTTGACAAAATTGTTTCCTGAGATAGCATATTTTATATAGTTGGTATTATGTGGGCATGGCTACTGCAATATTTAACACAAATTCACAGTTATTTCTCAAATTAACATACTTGTATAAGTTTACAAAACTTTCTATTTATTTTAAATGTTTATTTCATAACAACTAATATAACAAAAAGTTACACTCTTGTATATCAGTTATTTTATTCAAGTTCGAACAGTTGATGGAAAATGTGCAAGTGTAAACAATATTTTTTTAGTGATTTTTCTAGTTCTAAGTATTACACCACCTTACATAACTGACTACAGTTGTGTTATCAGATCGATCCACGGTTTTCCTTTTACTATCTTTCATTTTATTATCATTATTTGCAAATTAAAAATGATCTTTCGAACGTTATGTTAAAACCGTTTTTTGAAATTAATGTTCACTTCTTTTTATATTCTAACAATAAATATGAAAAATTATTGTTTGATACTATAATTAATCAAATACAAATTAGGTTTTTTGACATAGAATGGTTACATATTTTTAATTTGCTTAATGTTTCTAAAATTTCATTTTTTGCGAAAAAATTTCTGTGTGAACTTGTAAAAACTCAAGCACGACAAAATAATGTTTTCAATGTTTAGATCTTGAAGCATGGAAATTTCCCGGTGAGTCCCGAAACAGTCAATTTTTTTTCATACAACACATTTTTCACATATACAGGATGCTACAATTACAAATGCAATAAATATTTCTACAAATAAGTATAACAGACGCATTAAAAACTATATATATGTATATATTAAATAAGAGCATTGTTTTACTTTCAAAGTGTACACTCAGTCCGAAGCAATAGGTCTCCCGTTTCCGTCTGTCTGTCTGTCTGTCCGGATTTTTATTAGACAGATAACCTCCGAAAGTACTGAACCAATTGTCAATTTTTTTATGTGGATTACGAACATCATGTTGATGGTAAAACTCTAATTTTACGAGTAGCTAATCATCTCCACCAACTTGGTGACGTCATCTCCAAAATTTGTAGTAGTAAATATTTAATAAAGAGATATATATATAAACAAGGAATAGCCCCGCCCACCCACCCCCTCTTCATTCCAGTGATCACTCTTAGCATTGTCCAAAATCGGCCTTATCTTAAGAAATACTAGCCCCGCCCACCCACCCACCCTACCTAATTACGTACCCTATAAGAAAATACAGTTATAGGGTACGTAATTTTCCAGAGTAAGTCTTTTCTTAGAAAACTACTGCCCGCCCACCCACCCTTTATTTTCTTAGGGATTAAGTCATTTATTACAGTCTATCCTACCTTGTCAGGTACCGGCCCCGCCCACCCGCGTTGTTCTCATTCTAACCCTTTTATTTGTGTTTAGTATGGGATCCATCTTTCATGAGGACTAGATCAAATGAATCACTGAAATGAAGGCCGGGTGGTTGGGAGGGGTTAATTACATGGTCTTTTGTGAAATGAGAATGGGAACCAATAAAATTTAGGCTGTTGAAAAAAATCGCTAATCGAATTTTTTGTTATAATATTTGCTATAAGACTTATTTTTGATTTCAGAAGCGAAAAACGAGAGAACGGGCGGGTGGGCGGGGCTAAGTTTAACTTTTTCCTACAGAGTCAGATATAAACAAGAAATAGTTCCACCCATCCACCCCCCTCTCCATTGCAGTGATCACTGCACTTAACATTGTTCAGTTATTTACCAGAATCAATCTTATCTTAAGAAACACAAGCCCCACCCACCCACCCTGTATTTCCTTAGAGAGTACGTAATTTTCCAGAGTCAGTCTTATAAATAAAGTCAAGTGTTATAGATAAAGTTTTTGTCCTCGACATCCAGATTTTTGGAGGAAAAAAAAATCAAAACTGAATGCTCTGAAATTTTGTAAACGTTTTAAGGTTATAATGGTAAGTCGTTAATCAAGTTTTTTCGTTTATGCCCCTCTAAAACAAAATTTTGTCGAATAAATGTTTTTTAATTTATATTTACGTACCAAATATAAATTTTGGTGATTCCACAAGCATTGTTTGTTATATCAAACCCAATTCTCATCTGAATAACTGGGGTTTAAGGATTGCATTATTATTTCTAAATTGAAATCAGCGGCAAGTAAAATGGTAAGTTTCACGCCACATTTTTTTTAACTATTTAAGCTATTTTTACCTGTTTTTTCATCTATTTTAAGGTACCGTATCATTTTTTAAGCGAACAGGGTAATTTTCACGTTAAGTATTTCACCTCATTGTTAAGAGTATTTTTTAAAAAGTTGTGATTTTCTAAAGATTTGAAAATAAAAAAAAACACTTTCAACGTTAAATTTGACCTGTTTTCGTAAAAAAAAGATAAAACACATTACAATAAAGTAAAAAAATAAAATGTGGGATGAAATTACTATTTTTTATTTTTTGGTATTATGTATATTTAATTTTATAGGATATTTTTTTTTGTTTTTTTCCTTTGAAACGTAAACATTTGCTTTTAATGTTATTGAGATTAGAATTTTTAATATTTTTAGTCACTCCTGCATGAATCCCTGTCGAATTTTCACCCTAGACATCCAGATTTTCGGAGAAAAAAATAAAATTGTATAACTACATTTTACAATTTAACTTTAAAATTGTAAAACTGAATGCCCTGAAAACTTGCAAGCTTTTTGAGATTATTGTAAGCATGATAAATCATTAATCAAATCCTCTACGTTAAGGAAACAAAGTCAACCAAATCTCATTTTCATTTAACCGCTGGTGTCGGTCGAAGTATAAACATAAACAGTCGAAGTTAAGCATTTACTGAGAAATTGAGAATGTCAATACTTTTTCCCGTTAGTTATCTGTTTTAAATATATTTCATACTTAAAGATGCCGGGATTGCGAAAATATTAATTACGCCACTTTATAGAGGTTAACAGTTAATTTTTTCAATGTGCGGAATTTGTCGAACTATCCTTCATAATTTTTTACTAGCTTTGTTTTTCGTGGTAGTGTCATCAAAATTCCAAAAACAACATCATTTGTCAAAACGCCAATGTCGCCGGCAAAACTGAAAATAATAATAGGAATAATAATACCCAAACATCTGTATACAATACCATGAGAGCAGTCCGTGCACTCCATACCACATATAAACAAGTGTTTTGGTAATATAATGCGTTCGAATCTTTGACGGAGGCGGAGTATGGATGATGAAAGTATAATATGGTAATGAATTAAGAAAAACAAGTCTACAAGAATTCTAAAAAATATATAGCGTGATTAAAAAAAGTTTTATTGTGGTATTACTTATATACTACGCGCACTCCTCGATATTTTTATAATTTTTAAAGATAGAAAAATTGGTCCAAGGTTATTTCGACACAATTTCAACAGTATTGTATTGAGCGGTTCCTGATTTAATCAACAAAATAAATTGCATCATTCATTTTTTTTTGTCACCTTTTGTATAAGCAATTTTAAAAATTTTGTTAACGATTTACCATGTTTCCGAAACTCTTAGCGTTTGCAAGGTTTCAGCGCATTGGGTTTTGCAATTTCAAAATTAAATTCTAAGGCGTTATACAATTTTGATATTTTTACAAAAATCGGTTACCTAGGATAAAAACTCAACACGGATTCATAAATTACAAGTGGAGGAGTATGTTATTTAATAAAATTTAAATAACATTTACTGTTGTTAAAGTTGGAGACGACGTTGGTGGGGATGATCAGACAAATTTTGGTTAACGTTTTGTCATCTACACACAAATTTGACGACAATCAGTCCAGTAGTTTACAATATTATCTGTCTAATAAAAATCCGAACAGATGACAGACAGACAGACGGACGGACTATATATTTTTAAATATTCTCATTAACCTCTTCCTAGACTTTTTAACTATAGTTTACTTTTGAAATTCCGATTCGACGTTGCCAGGTAATTTCAATTTTCTTGAAATTTTTAGGCAGTGGAGGGACAACAAAAAATGGCAATCAGGTACTTTTTACAGTTTCTCTTACAATATATACCGAGTGTTTATAAAAATCTTTTTGTTTGGTAAAATTTTGAAATCTGAAAAATTATGATGTTTGACAGGTTTGTGCAATATTAAAGAAATAATAAGTAGCAAACTTTGTACAATCAAAATGCTGTCTAAAATTATCATTCAAGACTAAACTACTTTTCGCAACCGGTGTGCGTTCATTACGGATTTTGTACTACTTAATTTTCAAAATCAAAAACAAAGTCATATTAAATTTCAGTCACAATTAATGTTGTTAATAATTTTTTTTGCTTTCGTTTTTATTTGTCGAAATTTCTTGCATATTCATCTGTCCCAGAAGCGTACATTCTCAAGTCCTTTCCACAAAAAAATTCGCCAGACAATAGCCGAATTCTGTAGCGCTATTTATTCCGATTTGTTGATCCGTGTCTGCTATTATTTGAGAGAATCACATTCTGAATCGATCTCTCGGTGTTTATCTCTAAAAAAATCCACATAATAACACTTTTCCTTTTCCATAGGATGTATAATACCACTGCACGTAGTTAACGCCAACAATAAAATCGTAATTTAGGTGTAGATATACACTGTTTAAAACAAGAATGATGAGAATTGTTGTTTCCGACAGCGATAAGCTAATGATTGCGACATTCAACTTTTTTCTTCGGATACCATATAAAGCTATGCCGGATGCTAAGATCGCTATTACATTTGTTAATTTCCGGATGGCTTTTCGAGAATTTCCAACCAAAAAAACCCCGACTCTCTTATAATGAAAAGGAAACATCGGCCCGACTTAACAAATTACATACTGTTAACGTAGTTAAAATCCTGACAGAATAGGCTTCCATCTTGTACGTGTCAATTTCTATCAACAGCGAACACGACTTCCAAAAGTCACGGCTTCCAAATTATAGACCGACAAATTCGCAAATACCAATTTTGTGCGAAAAAAACTTTCTCACGTTCGTGACATTTTTTCCAGATCCGCAACTGCAGATGCAGGCCGGTTACCGTTCCGAATTGCAGGAACGCGCCCTTGTCGTGTCCTTGCAGATGTTCAACTTGATTTTGGAACGGTGCGTGTCCCTTTTGCAAGAGAGCAGCCGTGATCATCTCAGCTCTCTGCCCCTGGACGTCCATGTTCTCTTGCCGGCCGTCAAAATCTGGTGCGACTGGATGCTCTGCCATTCTTCCATATGGAATCCGCCGCCGTCCACGCAGGATTTCAGGGTTGGGTGAGTTGAATTTTCTGAGTTGGGACTATTTCCCACGAACAAAAGTGGAACATAGATTTTTGTGCAGACTTCAGACGATGATTTAAAATTATAATCGTGAGTGAATTTATTAATCCCGATTAGATTTTAACGCATGGAAAGGAATCGTTATAACTGTAATGCAGTGCTTGGATTGTTTTGTAGTCAAGCGAGTGCCAGATATTGAAATTAAGTTCACTGAAAAATGTTAGATTGTTGTTCAAAGCTTTGGAAGTACTAAGGTTGTTTTAAAATCATTTAAAACATTTTTTAGTACCTCAATTATATTTGAGGTACTAAAAAATGTGCTGAACGTGCTATAAATAGAACCATAAATCTGTATATAAATACAAAAAATACAAAATTATTTATATTCAGTCTCCTCGGTTCTAAAATACAGCCAATATCGCATGCATCTGAGTCGTATTTTGCAGGTTTTTTTGAGACGATCTGGTAACCATATGTAATAAATATATTAATTTTAGTAGGTATAATGTTTCTGGGTTTTTTCGGTACTGAAATAATTTGTGACAGTCTATATAAAAAGACAAAAAAGTGCTGAAATACAAGAAATATATTTCATATTTTTTTCCTGTTGTCGTCAGCGATTTAGTGGATACAAATATATTATAATGTTCCCCATTTTAAAAATTTCAGAAAAATCAAATCAGTTATTTCAGAGGCGTTTTGCTTACACCCAATTTTTGTGAAACACTATACACCTAAAGCTTCAGTAACACTATATGTGAACAAATGAAAAGAAATCATGTCAGAAAATGAAGTATTGTAATCGAATCCATCGGCCGACTCTCTACTTTTACGTTTTCTTGACCTTTCATGACCCCTAGAGTACGAAGAAATAAGTCTCCCTTTTCCATCTGTCTGTCTGTCTGTCCGGATTTTTATTAGACAGACAATCTCCGAAAGGCTGATTGTTGTCAAATTTTGTATTTATATTAGGAATATCATGCAGATGGTAAAACGCTAACCAAAATTTGTCTAATCATTCCCATCAATAATGTGATGACGTCACTTCAAAATTGTCCATAGTAAATGGCTTTTAAATTGTATAAAATCACATAGTCCTACACGTGCAGTTTATGACTCAGTGTTGAGTTTTTACCCGAAACGTCCAGATTTTTGAAAAAAAAAAAAGAAAGAAAATGATACAACAACATTTTGCAATTTAATTTTGAATCTGCAAAACCAAATGCTTTGAAATCGTGCAGATGTTTCAAGGTTATGATAAATTTTTAATCAAAATATGTTTACTTATCCCCTCCAAAACATTGATGCCGTCATCTCAAAATTTTGCCTATCTAAAATGTGGACAATATGATCAGTGTGTGATTTATCACTGCATTCATATTTTTTAAATTTGCTTAAACAGGGTGACTCAAAAAAATTGATGAATGCGTGAATTTATTTTATTGGTTTAATCAGGAACTGAAAAACCGAATCCTTTGAAATCTTGGAGATGTTTTAAAGTTATCATAAGCATGGTAAATTTTTTATCAAAATGTATTTGCTCATCCCCCCCCTAAAAAATGTATAACATCACCTCCAAATATTGCTGAATATATACTATCTTAAATGTGCAAAATATGAGGAGTCTGTACTTGTGATTTATTTTCAATATATAATAAATTAATTTAATTTTTTAAATTTAACAAGTTTTTACAAGTTTAATAGGGCCAAAATCAGTCTTATCTTAGCCTCTGAGAAAATAAAGGGCGGGTGGGCGAGCCTAGTACTCGCTAACATAAATCTTATTTTGACAAATGACATCCTCTGAGAAAATAGGGGGCGGGTGGGCGGGGCTAGTGCATGGTAAGATAAGACTGATTTTGGCATATAATATACCCTCTAAGAAAACAAAGGGTGGGCAGGGCTAGTACTTGCTAAGATAAGACTTAATTCGGCAAATGACTTATCCTCTGGGAAAATGGGGGGGCGGGTGGGCGGGCCTAGTATTTGTTAAGATAAAACTGATTTTGCTCCTATGAATCTTGTAGAAACTTGTGAAATTTAAGGTGTTAAATTGCAAATTTACATAGTAATGAGTTAAATTCCTAAATCTACCCGAAATGTGCAAAATATGATGAGTTTTTACTTGTGATTTTTCACTGTATTAATATTTTTTAGTTTTGCTTATACGGGGTGTCTCAAAAAAATTAATGACTGAGTCAATTTATTTTATTGATTGAATCAAGAATTGTAAAACTGAATACTTTGTTTTTAATCAAAATATATCTGTTTATCAAGCCCAAAAATTTGATGACGATGAATAAATTGAATTCAGAATACGTTTTCTATATGTCGTCGATTTTTCTCTTCTTTTTAATCAAACGTATTGTGATGAATTTTTCATTCAAATTTGTCTACAAAAATTTACCATTTGAAACATGTTTTAAGTTTCTTCTTGTGAAAAGAAGACTACGTATGTTAAGAAAAAAAGGCAAAATTCGTATTTTTTAGAACTGCTTACAGGAAATTAAAGACATGTTTTTGGGTATCGTGTTGTTCAAAGAATACTAAGTATATTAAGAAAAAAAAGGCAAAATATAAACCTTTGCCTTGATTTTGTTTGTTGTTAATATATTTTTTATCATTCATTATTCGATCTCTGACATTTCCAATTCTTTTTGCTTACACTGTCACTGGTTGACCTGTGCTTTGGCAATCCATATATAACGCGTGTTCAATTGGAAAGTCATCAAGTTAGCGTTGCTTTTTTGATAGAAGAAAACCTGGCGAAAACGGATGTATTTTATTAATCCCAACTGTAGTGCAGAACTGACATTTTCGCGTTGGTAGCTGTCATTGAATAAATTTTAGGGTTATGGTAGACATACTTCTCAAAAAATTGTGGCCAACTTGATGACTTTTTCAATTGAACATCCGATTTGTCCGATATGTAAATTTTATTGGACCCAAATTTTTTGTAATAAGAAAATCTCGTGTTTTCTTTAATTATAATACTCCAAGAAATATTTTTTGCATTAAAAAAAATAGCCAAATTATCAGACAAGAAGACACAATCGTAAATAATGTGACCATTGGCCGTCTCCGCTTCCCATGCACCGTTTATAATGAGTTTTTAACTCTTATTTAAATAAAAAAGAAAATAACACTCCCTTGCACTTATGGGTTATGACTCCGTTTTCATTTTTTACTCTATACATCCAGATTTTTGGAAAAAAGAAAAACAAAATTATACATTTTACAATTTAATTTTAAAATTCCAGAACCTCTCGCAAATGTTTGAAGGTTTTCGTAACCATAGCATTTTTTTACTTCATAGAGGTAATCACAAACAAACTCGCAAAACCAAATTTGATTTCTTTTGAAAAAAGAAACGGGATTTATTGGACTTTACTTCAGGGATGAGGGAAGTTCTATCAAAATAACTTTCTTCTCCCAGAATTATTTGTGGATTTTCCGGACTTCACCAAAAGCTCAATTTTTCGGTTTCTAATTTATGAAATTTTTTATTTTACCCAACCACTGTCGAAAATTACCAAAAAATTTCTTTTTGTTAATTTCCTCCACAAGTTTCTTGCGGTTTTATTTCTTCCGAAATTTGCACCTTTTTTCCAGAATCGGCAAAGTAAAATAAGGCAAATTTTGAGGTAGATTGAAAATTTGACTTTGAACCCAAATATTTTGAAAACTGTCGTCAAATATTTTGAAAACTGGCGTCCTATCAACTTTGCATTATTTTTACAAATAGACATACTGTTACGGTGTAAGCACGATTTTTTTCATAATTTTGGGCTATCCATTTTTTCCGGAATTGCTCTAAAAAAATCCTCCACAAGAATAGTCTGATAGCTCGGGAATTTTTTATTTTCGCCTCCAATCTTGGCCCGGGTACAACGTTTTTCGATTCAGTTCTTCGAAATCTGTCTTCAAAATTATTTGTAGATGGCTTGGTAACTTTGCAAAAAGCTCGATTTTTCGATTTCTAATTTGTGAAATTTTTGACGTTTACCAAAGCACTGTTAAAAATTAACAAAAAAATCCATTTGTTACCTCTCGCAAATGACATAGAGGTTATCACAAAAAAAATTACAAAATCAAAGTTTATATTAAAAAAAAAAACGGGATTTACTGGACTTTACTTCAGGGATGAGAGAAGTTCTATCAAAATAAAAAATGATGTTCTATATGCCAATAGTGGCATAGCATGACTCACTTCTATGCAAGGCCCGATCGTCGGCCTTGCGCTGCGTTTCTGTCCTACGCAATTATGTATACACGATCACTTTCTGCATTTATAACACAAATAATAATTACTCCCTCTTGCCCAAACGAAATTGTTTAGCCTTAATGCAAAAATACAGTATTCACAGTATCACGTTTATATATGGAAAATCAATCATTTAAGTTAGAGCGATTAAAAAAAATTGTTGAATGTTTCAAATACTGTAGAAGTATGGCGTGAGACCGAAGGTCGGCAGAAGCAGCGAACACTTATTTCCTCAATGCTGTTTTTTTTATTTGAGAAAAATAAATAACGTCTAATGTTTGTTTGCCAATCATTTATAAACAAAACACACCAATTTGTCAATTTTACGAGCACATTTTTTAATATAATTGATTTCCTTAAGTCGCAATGAGTATTCACAATTGTTATTAGTAAAGTTTATCTTAAATTAGTTTTAAATTGACAGAATTAACCGGACTGTAAGATATCGTGACTAATAAATTCATAGTCAGTGTTTTCCTAATGTAAATAACGAGATTCCGAGAAATTAAAATCATAAATATGTATGTGTAGCGTTAAAAGCTACGAACAAATTGTGTATGTAGTAGTCTGAGAAAAACACATTTAATAATCAGAAAATTCAAATCAATCTTGTCTCCAACGGCATTGATGTCTCACTGCAGAAAGTGTTTTTGTATTTATCTATTCTCTTCTGCCAATAAATTATCGAGCCTTGTTTGTCATGATTAAATTGTAATTTATTCAAGATTATAATAAATTGAAAGAAACAAATTGATAAAATAACCGTCATAATTTATAGATGTTGGGTTAATAAAGGCAGTCGAGATATAGACGAAGATCTTTCATCGGGTAAAAATCAGTTCTTTCGAATTTCGAAAACTATATTCTCTGCAAATTCTTTTTATTTTAATACAAGGTACTAACAAAACTACGGCATGATAAAAAAAATCTGAACCAAAAATCTATGTTCAAAGCTTTTTTAAGGAGATTTTGTTGTTTTTTCTAGTGTTTATTTATTTATTATTTATTTTTTTTTTTTTTCAATAGAGCACCTGGTGACGCGTGGGCCCGCCTGGCGACCTTAATGAATCTTCTGGAGAAGTTACATCAAACTGCAGCCAATGCTCTCGTGTCGGAATACAAGGAAGGTAAATGAACATCAAACGAAATTACCGATCAAAATTAGTTGTCAAACGTCGGACATGTTAATTAAGTTAATGACGATACCAGCAAAACGAATACAAGTAATATTAGAAAATTACGATGTTGGCAGGGACTAAATTAAAGTCAAAGACTTCTCTCCCGTCTTGTCTTGGCGATATTAATTTGTTAAGAGCCTCATCGGATGGTTTTTGTAATAAGTGCATAAAATGATTGCGAAGTCAGCGTCATGCACGGACTCATTCGGAATTAAAGCGAACTCTAACGGGACTTTTCCGTCGATTCGCGTTTCGGACGAATGTGGATATTTTGTTGTCTTGCGTTGGTGAGGAGGAAATACGGTCCGATTAAATATTTGCACTTCGCGAATTGATAAAAGTTTATTTGGAGAGTTCGGTCGTGCTTCCTGTGATAATTATGCGATACCGCAAGTCTCCAGCTGTTGCAAGTGAACCGGGGCCATTAAAAAATTTGCGCCGGTGCATTCAAGCATTGTTTCTCATTCGTTAAAAATAATTATATCGGGAATTTGAATAATGTTTTTTCTACAACGGAAAATCGCGCCGTTATTAACGTATAAGATTGCACGCAATTATCGTATGGTAATTAGTGAGGATTTTTAATGTTGGTGAATAAAAATCGCCGCTCAAGTATTCAAAGAGAATTTTACTAGCAGGTGTTTTGAGAAAACTTTCAAACAATACAGTACTTGATGTTTTTTCTTTCGTATACTGTTAATTCCTCTTAACATGGCATTTAAGAGGCGTTTACCTCTGCGGGTTTTACTTTTGTTGTAGTTGTTTGAATGCAAAGGACAACGCACGGGTTATATGGGTTTTCCGGAACGTCGAGGTTTTTTTAGTTTTTGGGTGGATGTCATTGCTCATGTTTGGCACTCAGTATACTGGCAAACTTGATTTAGCGGTGATTAATTTTTTATGTAACGTCACAAGTTTAGGTTTAATTTCCACTTGCTTATTCTCGCTTTTATTTGTTTTTACTTTTCCCAGTAAATCACTTTCCACATTATAATGAGACAAGTTGTAAGCATAGTTCAAAGAAAATTTGGGTGGTTGTTGTTTCTCGAAAAAGGTAGTCAGAATTTTATGTTATAAAGATTATCTGAATCACTGTAGGAACTGCAAAAAAAAGTAAGAGATCAAGACAAAAAGTGATTTTATGTGCTGTGGCGGAAAGTACAGAGCTTCCATAAATGTTTCTTACGTCCAGTGATCTGTGAAATTTAAAAATATTTGCCACTTCTTAGTAATGATGGACATTTTTAAAGTTTTAATTGAATCTGGTTAATATATCGTGTGATTTTTTTTTTTTTACTTCCCGAGCGTAAGCAAAGGAAGTATTGTAATCGAGTCCGTCGGCCGACTCTCTACTTTTACGTTTTCTCGATCTTTCATGACCCCTAGAAGACGAAGAAATAGGTCTCCCATTTCCGTCTGTCTGTCCGTCTGTCCGTCTGTCCGTCTGTCCGTCCGTCTGTCCGTCTGTCCGTCTGTCCGTCCGTCTGTCCGTCTGTCCGTCCGTCCGTCCGTCTGTCCGTCTGTCCGTCCGTCTGTCCGTCTGTTGTCCCGGATTTTTATTAGACAGATAATCTCCGAAAGTACTCGACCGATTGTTGTGAAATTTTGTACTTATATTAAGAATATCATGTAGATGGTAAAACGCTAACCAAAATTTGTCTAATCATCCCCACCACTAATGCGATGACGTCACTTCAAAATTGTACATAGTAAATGGGTTTTCAATTGTATAAACTAACATAGTCCTACACATGTAGTTTACAACTCCGAATCGACTTTTCACCCGAAACGTCCAGATTTTTGGAAAAAAAATCAAAATTATAAAACAACATTTTGAAATTTAATTTTTAATCTGCTAACCAGAATGCTTTGAAATGTTGCAGATGTTTTAAGGCTATAAAGAGCATCATAAATCTTTAGTCAAAAAATATTTGCTTACCCCCTCCAAAAACTTGATGACGTCAGCTCAAAAGTTTGTGGAATAAATCATATCTAAAATGTACAAAATATGATGAGTCTGTACTTGTGATCTATCACTCCATTCATATTTTTTGGATTTGCATATACAGGGTGACTCAAAAAAATTAATGAATGCGTAAATATATTTTATTGATTTAATCAGGAACTACAAAACCGAATGCTCTGAAATCTTGCAGATGTTTTAAGGTCATAAAGAGCATAATAAATGTTTAGTCAAAATATATTTGCTTATCCCCTCCAAAAACTTGATGACGTCAGCTCGAAAGTTTGCCGAATAAATCTTATCTAAACTGTACAAAATATGATGAGTCTGTACTTGTAATTTATCACTCCATTCATATTTTTTGGATTTGCATATACAGGGTGACTCAAAAAAATTAATGAATGCGTAAATTTATTTTTTCGATTTAATCATGAACTGCAAAACCGAATGCTTTGAAATCTTGCAGATGTTTTAAGGTTATAAAGAGCATAATAAATGTTTAGTCAAAATACATTTGCTTATCCCCTCCAAAAAATTGATGACGTCAGCTCGAAAGTTTGCCGAATAAATCATATCTAAAATGTACAAAATATGATGAGTCTGTACTTGTGATCTATCACTCCATTCATATTTTTTGGATTTGCATATACAGGGTGACTCAAAAAAATTAATGAATGCGTAAATTTATTTTACTGATTTACTCAGAAACAACAAAACCGAATTCTTTGAAATCCACTGCGAAAAAAAAAACATAATAGGCATGCAGTCGTCACGTTTCCGACAGCGAGGGAAGTACTGTCGAAACTCTTTAGACCAATTTTTTTGATTTGTGATTTACCCAAGAATTTGTTGACAGAACAAATCCGACCGAAAACTAGTCGTAGCTTAACAGTTTTTATTTTTAAGGAATTATTGTGATGAATTGACAATTTGACAACATAATTTTTATTTGGGTTTTCTGAGTCTGAACTTAAAAAGCTAGGTTGTAATGTCAACAGGAATTAAACCCTTGTTGCATTTAAAATGGCAAAATGGTGTTTTAGAAAGTCGAGAATAAGAAATAATGTAAAGTGTCAAATCGGGCGGTCGAGGTGGGAGCTAATTAAACAGTCGTCATAAAATCCCTATAGATAATTCAAATTTCTTTGAGCTGTTGCGCAGTCATGCTGAAAATATCCGTTGTACAATTCTTGCATGTTCTGATATCTCACAACCGTAACTGACGGAAGAAAATAGACCCAAATAGTCATCTTCGAGAAACGGCACACTTGAGTTTTTTTGTTAAGATTACACTAATTATTATCAATATAAAATCCACTTTTTGTCCAATAAAATGGGAGATCAAGAAGAAACGGGGTGGGTGGGCGGGGCCACTCTGAGTTTTTTTAGCGTTGATTCGATCACTTAAAACAAAAAACGTCAATCTTCATCGCACGGTAAATAAAATAAGCCAATGAAATCCAAAAGTGGAGATGGCTAGTGTTAGTTTTACATTTTTTTGTTAAGATTCCACTAAGTATCAACGTAAAATCCACTTTTTGTCCAATAAAATGGGAGATCAAGAAGAAAACGGGGTGGGTGGGCGGGGCCACTCTGAGTTTTTTAGAGTTGATTCGATCACTTAAAACAATAAACTTCAATCTTCATCTCACGGTAAATAAAATAAGCCAATGAAATCCAAAAGTGGAGATGCCTAGTGTTAGTTTTACATTTTTTTTGTTAAGATTCCACTAACTATCAACGTAAAATCCACTTTTCGCCCAATAGAATGAGCGATCAAGATGAAAACAGGGTTGGTGGGCGGGGCCACTTTGAGTTTTTTAGCGTTGATTGTACCACTTAATAAAATAAACTTCAATGTTGATCTCACACTAAATAAACTAAACCATTGAAATCCAAAAGTGGAGATGGATTGCGTTAGTTTTAGATTTTTACTTCCCGAGCGTAAGCAAAGGAAGTATTGTAATCGAGTCCGTCGGCCGACTCTCTACTTTTACGTTTTCTCGATCTTTCATGACCCCTAGAAGACGAAGAAATAGGTCTCCCATTTCCGTCTGTCTGTCCGTCTGTCCGTCTGTCCGTCCGTCTGTCCGTCTGCCGTCCCGGATTTTTATTAGACAGATAATCTCCGAAAGTACTCACTCGACCGATTGTTGTGAAATTTTGTACTTATATTAAGAATATCATGTAGATGATAAAACGCTAACCAAAATTTGTCTAATCATCCCCACCACTAATGCGATGACGTCACTTCAAAATTGTACATAGTAAATGGGTTTTCAATTGTATAAAATAACATAGTCCTACACATGTAGTTTACAACTCTGAATCGACTTTTCACCCGAAACGTCCAGATTTTTGGAAAAAAAATCAAAATTATAAAACAATATTTTGAAATTTAATTTTTAATCTGCTAACCAGAATGCTTTGAAATGTTGCAGATGTTTTAAGGCTATAAAGAGCATCATAAATCTTTAGTCAAAATTTGGTTATCTTCTACAAAAAACTGATGACGTCAGCTCAAAAGTTTGCCGAATAAATCGTATCTAAAATGTACAAAATATGATGAGTCTGTACTTGTGATTTATCATTCCATTCATATTTTTGGATTTGCACATGCAGGGTGACTCAAAAAAATTAATGAAGGCGTGAATTTATTTTATCCATTTAATCAGGAATTACAAAACCGAATGCTTTGAAATCTTGGGAATATTTTAAAGTAATTATAAGCATGGTAAACTTTTGTTCAAAATGTATTTGTTCATCCCTCCTAAAAAAATTGATGACGTCACCCTTAAATTTTGCTGAATAAATCCTATCTAAAATGCAAAAAATATGATGAGTTTGTACTTGTGATTTATCATTCCATTCATATTTTTTAGATTTTCTTAAGAGGTGGTATAAAAAAATTAATGCAGTCAATTTATTTTATTGATTAAATTAAAGGCAATACTTATTATTAGTATTACACCCCAACCAACCCAATTTGGTAGACACAAAATTTGTTAAAGGAAAAACTCGGTTGAAACATAAGAGTAGCACGCTTATTTACATCGACTTTAACATTATAGACCTGCATTTGTTTTATGCGTTCACTTGGTTCCGCGAATGCGAAATAGACATGTTTATAATCAACCAATTGTGAATTTCACCGTCAAGAATTAAAATAAAACGCAATGTTTTATATAATAAGCGGAAGTCGAAGCAATAAAACCGATGGTCGTTTTGTTTACAGTTTCTCTGTTTGGCTCTCACGTATGCTGTTACGCTTGTCATCTTAAATTAAGAATGTTTATACATAAACGATTTTCAGTTGCCCCTCATATTACTAGACAGCGGATTTCTGTCGGGCTACGTCACGATTATAGGGGGGGACGTGCTGGATTCCATAAATATAATTAACGATTTATTAATCAAACGGCTAAGTAAATGAGAACGGGAATTAACAGCAGAGTGCAACGAAACAACGTTATTCTAATCTCAAATAAACGAAGTGCAGTCCGCAACGGCAATGAATTCGCATCCCGCGCGAGCCGTACCGAGTTTGGCCTTGCCTAGCCCGACAGAAATCCGCTCTCTAGATATTACACACCGGCGCCGTATACGTGAGTAAATTGTTTCGTTATTTTATTGATTATAAGAAATCAATATTCTAAACGACCCAATTCATTTTCCCGAAAATTTGGGAACACAATAATTTTATTCTTAGAATTACACTACATCTATCCCAACTGATATACGTGTCCTTGCAAAAATGTTGATGACGTCATCACATTTTTTTTTTAAATTCCCACTACAAAAATGTAATGAGAAAAAAAAACATAATAGGCATGCAGTCGTCAAGTTTCCTACAGCGAGGGAAGTACTGTCTAAACTCTTTAGACCAATTTTTTGTTATAATTCCACTAATTGTAGGTAAAAAATCCACTTCTCGCCCAATAAAATGAGCGATCAAAAAGAAAACGGGGTGGGTGGGTGGGGAAACTATGATTTTTTTATCGTAATTTCAACAACTAATAAGAAGAAAATTTGGAGACGGCCTCTTCAATTTCTTGGGAGGGAGAAGATCAATCTTTTGTGGATGTAATGTTGTTCTTTCAAAATAAAGGTTGAAAGATGAAACCGGGTTTCATCACTAAAAAGTTTTATATCAATAATTTTCAACAACTTTGGGAGTTCGTCTTATTAGTGTGCGACTTCTGGATTTCCTCTGAACGCTACCAATCTCAGGAAAATCACAAAACTGAGAATCCTTAAAAAATTAGCTTCAAAAACAGGAACTCCTGGGATTTTTTAACGAAATTCTTGAAAACAGAGTTGAGTTTCTTACAACCATACACCATTCACTTGTTAAGGAAGTAAGCATGAGCACATTTTTCTCGATATGAAAATTATACTGTCAGAAAAATTAAAGGTAGTGCCCATTTGTATGTTAGAATCATTTATGACCCCACTATAGTAAAATGCACTGCTTTTTTGAAAATGTAATTTATCAACAAATGTCGATAATTAATCGATTCCTAATGAGATATATACCGGGTGTCTGGAAAATGGTGGATTAACTGTTCAGTACGTTACGTACGGGAGTTTCGGAAGTCCCAAAAAAAATAAAAAAATTTATGGTGAAGATTACGAAAAAACGTAATTTTATAAAAGTAAAATTGGCAACACTGCACAAGCTATTATTTTTCATTAATAAATAAACCAAAAAAACAACAAAAGAAAAAAAAGCGTAACCAACTAAAGACTAGAGATGTTCAAAATTTCTGCCTTGTGCATATTAAGTAAGTTCTTAATGTTTCGAAATTTTGATCATTTTTTGTAAAAGTTGGTCATCAGTTCCTACTAAGATAAAACTGATTTTGGCAAATGACATATCTTCGAAGAAAAGAGAGGGTGGGTGGGCGGGGCTAGTATCTGCTAAGATAAGACTGATTTTCGCAAATGAGTATCCTGTAAGAAAAATAATTAAATTACTATGAGAAAAGACACTAGAAGTTCCAAAGCACTTTCAAATTCTTTCCAAACAAGAATACCTAGAAACTCAAGATTGTTTTAAATTTTCCAAAAAAAAGCTGGGTTCCAAAATTAACTCAAAAACAGGTCAGGTTAGAATTTTCCAAAAATAGAACACCAAAGTCCTCCAAAATTGTTTTAAATAATTTACAAAAAAAAATCTCCATGGGTTCCCAAAATAATACACCATGGGTACCCAAACACTAAAAGTTACAGCGACAAAACATTAGGGGCCGGTTTATAGAACAGCGAGTTAAATATTTAATCCTCGATTAGTTTAACAGAGAATTAAACTGTGGAATATGAGCCCGTGATTGGTTGAAACATGCACGTTTCCTAGCAACGGACCTCAGTTAAAAGTTAATCACGAATTAACTTTAACTTCGCTTTCTATAAATCGGGTCTAGATTCCTTTAAATTTCTCCGAAAATAAAACACCAGGGGACCTAAAATTAACTACGAACATTTTAAATGTAGGGTTTTGAAAACTTTGACAATTTTTGATACTTCAAACATTTTTAACTGCTTACTCGATTTTTATTGATTTATACTTTCGCTTTGTATCAGGCAAACATTGTTGTCAAATGGAATTTTACCAAATTATTATAAAAACAACACACCAGTTGATTGTTAGAGAGAGAGTTAATCCGCCATTTTCCAGACACCCGGTATATTTAAACTTAAATCTTCAAAATACTAGCATTTTACAAAGTTTTTTTTGTTGAATGTACTTAACATAAAGTTGAAGAAACCCATATCTTTTACAAAATTATAGGCGACGATTACTAAAGCTGTACACAAAATACGTCGCCTTCCGTCCGCCTCATATGGATAAATCAAGATTTTTTTTGTTAAGTACGAAAATGGAAGATTGCACAAACAAGTTGTAAGCATCCATAAATAATCATGTACTGTTCAAGAAGTAGCTGCTTATTTTGATTTGCTAAATATAAAGGACTACACTGGCCATTGTTTACGACGAACGTCATACCACATTACTAATTAAATCATTAATGACTGGTACTAATTAACTGCCTTGAAAAAGCATAAAAACTCACTGACAAGTATGTTAGAAGTAGTGAGTATGTAGAGCATCAAGACGATAGTAGAAATAATCATCCCGTGTTTGTTCTAATTCAGCTAATGCTAAAATACTGATTTTAGTGTTGTTTTTATTTTATTATAAAAAAACATTGGTGCTAAAACGGTTGGAGAAAAAAGAATGTTTTATTCGTACAAAAATACATTTTCGCGCCTCGTAAAGTCGCCGGTCTTGGCTTAGCGGAGTTGAGCAATCCTCATAATACATGTATAATTTAAAATTTTATGGTCCGATTATCTAAATATTATCGCGAAACAAATAAAAATCGAACCGATAAAAAGATTTATGAAAGCAGGTTATAAGTAATAAAAGTTAAAAAAATGTCTCTGGTATGTTGTAACCATGTGGAAGCGTTTAATTACACTTTTAACCTAACCTGGAAAACTCAAATTGATGGTACCAAGAAATGCAGGTCCGGATCTGATCCAGTTCAGATTTGTTTATTACAAACGACATCGTCAATCATATGTCTAACGGACATTTGTCCAAAAACTAACTGTACGGTGTCATTTGCAGTAAACAGCTTCAAATTTCACCTCTCTTCTCCACTGAGAAAATATTCCACGACGTCCTCACCATCATCAACAACCAGCAAATTGACTTGTCGATCCCGAGCTCTCCATCCATCCATCGACCACTTAAAATCCTTTTGTACCGACCAAGTGCAGAACTTTTTCGTACAAAACACCTAACAAAACAACTTTTTTTCATCACGACGAGTTCCTCCGAGAACGAATCTAAGCCGACAGTATAATTATACGTGCAGACAAAACTTTTTGCGGTTGCGTTAGCCCGGCCGCAAGACTCCTAAATTGCAATTTAGATTGTTCGTTATTCCCGAATTGGGCGCGGCCAATTTCGACGACGTGCAATTTCGGCCCACGTAAAACTTCCAAAAATAGAAGGAATCGATAAAAAAGAGCCAAAATCATTACAGGTTATGAGCAGGTGAAGCTGCCGGAGGACAGCGTCTTGAGCGGTTTCACTCCGTTGATGGTCAACGAGCCCGACATCAGCTACGCTCCCAAAGATCTAGATATCGAAGTCGCGCAGTTTGCCCTCCGAATGGACAAACTCCTCTTTTTCGGAACGGTCTTTTTATGCGGCTTGGAGCCGCCCGTTCTCAAGCTCGAGATCGAAGATGACTTCAGGGAGTACGTTTCGGTGGTGTGTACGTCCAACAGCAGGGATTCACCGGTAGCCGCCCAGGATCTGGTGAGTTGAGAGAGAGAGAGAAAGATATAGTGTCTTCGTCTAAGCGGTACCACGTGGATGAAAAAAAGTCGAAAAACATTGCGGTTTTTGTTATTGTTTTGTGTCAATATTTTTCTCATTAGCTAAATCTGTTTATTCTAGTAGCGGGTAAGCGCTCAGCCGATGTGGATGTATAAACTACTTAATTGACACCTGTTCAAACAGTAATACACTTTCGTTAGGAGACAAGCAATTAGAGAAACTCCTACGAAAGATTTCTGTGTTATTAAAACGGTCCACCATGTTCAAGATGACCGAAAAATTATTTTTAGGAGTTACAGAGGGTTTACGTGTTTATGAATACTTTCAAAGTTTTTTTTACAACTTATAGTATCAAAATGCGATATGCACCATTGGCACCATGAATTTTAACCCAATTGGTAAAAATTATTCGATTTAAACCTAAACAGGTCTCAAATAGCTGTAGCTTAACATCAACTAACAGATATTTCTTGATAAAAACGAATAGTTTGTGCATTATCTTCAATAAAGTTATTTACTTCGTGTGATTCGTCCTTGGATTTAATTAGGACTATTTCAACTGCGTACATTTACAGGTAACAAAACCAGATTCTAAATCTAGAATGATTCTTCCAACGTATTAACTTTTTTTACTTGTGGTTTTTTGTTTATATTTAGCTTATTCGGACACAACAGATATCCCTGAGCTTAATATTACATAATTAAATATAGCTAATTTGCCGCTACAAAAATTCAGTGATAGACTGACAGTTCTTGTCCAAATTCTTAACTATTTAAAACAAATACCGCTCTTATCTATAATGTTTTTTTTCTGGACTAGAACTTTCTCAGTTCTACAACTTCCAGTGCGCTCTCGGCGACCCTCGGGGTTAATCATCTATATTTGTTTTAAGGAGGCTCAAATAACCCTTCTTGGCCCTTAAAGAAACCGCAAAAAAGGACCTTAGGGACCCATATAAAAAAATCTTTAGGGTCCTTTGTATTTTATTTTTGCAAGAATTTCAAAGATTCTTAGGAGTTCTTAAGGTCGATTTATAAACTTGCCGCTGACGTTGACGTTGCCGTTGAAAGTTAGCACGCCGTTGGGGTGACAGTCGAGTTATCCAACTTTTAACTTTCGCCGTTACGTTGCCGTTGACAGTAGGTTGGTTTTCTTTTTTAATAAATCATATAGTTTTCTTTGTATAACACGATTACTTAAGCTTAAGAACGTGTTTCACATGGTAATTTGTCGCAAAAAAATAAGAATTTTACAGTTAAGCTCCGCCTCTCGGCTTACGACGAATAAAAAAATCAGCAGAATTGAGTTAGGGCGGATGGGCGGGGCTTATATTTTGCCTTTTTTTTCTTAATATACATAGTCTTTTCACAACAAGAAACTTAAAACATGGTTAAAATGGTACATTTTTGGAAGGAAATATGGACTTGCAATTATGGGGTGGAGCCTAACTGCATATTTCCTTATACAAATTTTACATTTGTAACATATTTTAACTTTCATGTTGTAAAAAGGAAATTTACACATATTAAAACAAGAAGGCAAATGTATCTCAATTGTGATGATTTTTTTATTCGCCGTGAACCAGCTTAACTGTAAAATATTTATTTCTTTACAATAAATTAAAAACATGTTTTTGAGTATCGTGTTCAAAGATACTATGTACATTAAAAAAAAAAGGCAAAATATAAAAACCCCGCCCGCCCACCTCATCTCAATTGTGACGATTTTTTTTAATTCTTAGAAACTTAAAACACGTTTAAAATGATGAATTTTTGTAAGTAAATATGGATTTTGCGATTAAGCTCCGCCCCTAGGCCTGCCAACGAATGAAAACTTCATTACTATTTCGATCAGGGCAGGTATGGATGGGGTTTAATCTTTGACTTTAATTTTTTCTTAAAATACGAGTACATAATATTATTTGAATAACACGATACTCAAAAACAAGTCTTATATGACAATTTCTTGTAGAGCAATAATAAGTATTTTGCAATTAAATTACGCTCCTTTACTCTGGACGATTAGAAAAATCATCATAATTGAGATAGGGTGGGTGGGCGGGGCTTATATTTTGTCTTTTTTCTTAATATATGTAGTCTTTTCAGAACAAGAAATTTACCACGTGTTTAAAATGGTAAATTCTTCTAAACAAATATGAATCTTGTAGTTAAATCCCGCTCCTCGATCGTCAACGAATGAAATATTCATCACAATCGAGAATTCAGATTGTGGCGGGTACCTACATGGTATTTTTTGAACAACACGATACTCAAAAACATGTTTTTAATTTCTCGTTGAGAAATAAAGATTCTGCAGTTAAGCTCCGCCCCCTTGGCTTCCGACGAATAAAAAAATCATCACAACTGAGATAGGGCGGGTGGGCGGGGCTACATTGTGCCTTTTTTTCGTAATATATTATGTAGACTTATTTAGACAATATGAAACTTAGGACATGTTTGAAATGGTAAATGTTTGTCGTAATCAACTTAAATCGTCCACTTTTCTTCTACAACCACTTTAAATACGGCAAAAGTTGGACATCAACGGCAACTTGGCAACGGAGTTTATAAGTGGCAATTTTCAGCTGTAAAAGCAACGTCAGCGGGAACAGTAACTGCAACGGGAACTCCAACGTCAACAGCAAGTTTATAAATCCCACTTAAGTCTCTTTTTACTTCCCGAGCGTAAGCGAAGGAAGAATTGTAATTGAGGCCATCGGACGAATGGACACTTTTATGTTTTCTCAACGTTTCATGACCCCACAGTAGTCTCTCGTTTCCGTCTGTCTGTCTGTCTGTCTGTATCCATCAATGTCATCAAATTTTTTATTGGTCAAATTAAGAACAAGTCACCCCATTTTCTCGAAAATGTGAAGAATACGCACGTCTTTATACACTGCCAGACAGAAAAACCCGGCCACTTGAATTTTTTGTGATTACCTTCAATTGATCGAACTTTTGTCAAAAATATTCCGAAAAGCAAAACAATGTATTCACTCACAGAAAACAACTTTATTCTAAAACATGTGGAAACAGAAAAAAAAAGTTATAATACTAAACATTAACGTAAAGTTGGAAAATATTGAAGTGGTCGGGTTTTTTTTGGCTGGCAGTGTGTAATAATGATAAAATAAGAATAGGTATATAATATTCAGAACATTTTGTTCGATTGTGGCCTAATTAATAATTTTAGCCCTGTTTTGAGAAACTCATTCAAATGGTTTTGACTTTACAGCGGTTATTGCAAAACGAAAATAGTAAAATCAAATTTTATAATTTTTTTTAAGAGCTGAATGTGTCGGATTATACTTATAGCCTTCGACCAATTTTTTATTAATCAAATTATGGAATCTCATTTTATAGATTTGCTTATACAGGGTCACTCAAAAAAATTAATGAATCAGTCCATTCTACCCAAATTCTACCCGAAATGTGCAAAATATGATGAATTTCTACGTGTGATTTATCATTGCATTAATATTTTTTAGATTTATCAAAAAAATGGCGGCTCAAAAAATTAATGAAAAAACTCAACTTGAAAATGCTGGATATGTTTCATTGTATTTACTTCAGTAGCGGGGGAAGTTCTGTCGAAACAACTTTCGACCAATTTTTTTAATTAATTTATAGTAGGTGTAACAGAAACATAATAATAATTTTATGATTTATCTAAGAAACAACTTATCGAATTGATTGTGCTTCAGGGATCAAGGAAGTTCTGTTTAAATAAGTTTAATACAACTGTTTTTAAATAGTGCGTGGTTGTGAATTTGGCTAAATGGAAGTCTTTTGTGTTTCCAGGTTCGCAACAACGACGTCCTGATGGAGAGCTTCAGCGACGAAGAAGAAGAGGAGATGTCGAACGGACCTGGTGAAGAGGCCCCGTCGGAGGTGCGAGAGTTGCTGTGTCGGAAAGTGGAACTGGAGAGAACCCAGCGGCGCCAAGAGCTGCACAAACAGCGCGTGAAGGTATAGTAGATCGTCGACGCTTTTTTCGTCCCTCGAGGTGTTCCATTCCTCGCTTTTTGCGATATTTAACGAATCGAAGTGACATGCGTGACAGGTTTATGGAACGCATCGTTATTACCGAGACCGAGATTCGATTGTGCTTAATTGACGCGAATTCAATTACGGTCGTCCGAGTCAATTTGCCGATCCTCTGCCGTTTTCTTTTTGCAATATGCCAATTTCATTACAGCGGTACTCCATTGTTATTGGCTGTTCTGTGAAGTTCAGTATGTTATTGGAAAAAGTCTATAATAGCTCCTTTAAGGAGCCGTTAGATCGTGAAATTGAATAATTCGCATAGCGTGTAACTGTAGTCGTGGTGGAGGGACGCTCCCATCCCATCGTCGCCGTTTTTACTTTTCACTACGTGTCCTCGTCGGTTCTTTTCGTCGCTCCGATTTCGGGATTTTAGGCGAGATATTGTGTCAGTGGGTCCAGGATCCGATTGATATTGTTTGTACATTTGCATGTATCCGAATTCCGTGTCGGTCAGGAACCGTTGCGGCGGGCCGTGGGAAAGTGTGGGCGTGCAGCAGTGTTGGTGCACGGGTACTTACTTCCTCGTGCGACACACACACACTTGGACCTGTGCCAATCTACCGGTCGAGGAGGAGAGCCGGATGATTGGCGGATCTCCCGCACGTGTACCGTTAAAGAAGTCTCTCAGAGACAGACGACGACGGCATTCCATTCCGTTCCCATTAAATCCGATGCAACTCTAGACACATCCCCTGAGGATGCAATAAATCTCCACGAAACATTGTCACAGCTTGATTGTTCGCGGAATATACTCGGACGCGCATCGACGTCGACCTGAACGTGGAGGTGCGGCGCGAACGAGCAAAACGACAAGGACAGATGCGCAATACTTCATTCGAGACGAAAGGAAACAGATCGAAACGTTTTTAAAGCAAAAATTATGGCTTCATTTTAAAAAAATATTGTTTATTCGACACCGTATGACACATACACGTAGTACCTACACTCAAAAAAAAAAAATATGAACTAATAATAGTTGTGTCTTCTGGGGTGGATGGAATTGTTTCTCGTGAGGTTTGCTCTCCATTTGGTGGTTCTAAAGATCTAGGACTTCTCTTTTGTTTCCCATTGATTGAGCAAGTATGGCTTCACCAATAAGTCTTCAAATTCTTGTTCGCTCTTCTGAAAGCTGCCCAATGGATAAAATTTAATGTTCCTAAGTCAACTTCAAGCTAAAAACGATGGCGTGTACAGAATTTCAATATTTCTATTCGTTCTCAGGATATAAAGCCGCAAATTTTTATGTAGGACACCCTGTATATGGAGATGTGGAGAAAAACTAGAGATATTTAGAAAAGAAAAAAAAGTAGAAATAATCAATCGTGAGCGTGTTTCCGAACAGGTGGCTTCGATGTTAGTACAGGAAGAGAGAAGAAATATAGAAAAGCAATGGGAGGGAAAATTAGTAAACATTCAGATTGGAAAGATCAATACAGTTTGCGTAGAAAACAACATCAGAATAATGAGCGCCGATTCAATCATTAAGATATGCATAAAGAAACTTGGGTGGCGCCAAATGAAACGATAAAGAACCATACAGACCACTTTTTAATTGAAAGTAGACGTGCGAAGGATATAACCGACGTAAAAAGTTAATAGAGAAGCTGATGCCGACAGTGATCATTCGTTTCTTATTGCAAAAATAAAGCAAGAAATTTCAACCATAAAAAGTGAGGGGAGTTGAATGATAATCGCGGTGTAATCTCTTCGAAGGAGAAAAGACAAGAAGACAAAAAACAAAACGACTTTAAAGGAGTAAAGAGAGGAGAATAAGCAGGCCTAACGGATTGTTCTGATGGGGAGTACATACGTAGTACATGTAGAATTAAAAAAATTTATAGAATGATAAGGGAACCCCACTGAAGAAAGAAAAGCAACAAAACCTATACGTAGTAGGAAAAAAATATCTAATGAATATCGAAGAAATAGAGAATACTACCTACTCAAAGAAAGCGAAAATGTCAAATAACTCATTTAGAACATTTAAAGAGAAGTTTTTTGAAGAATTGAAGTAACCAAATACGAATGCAAAGAAGACTAAACTAAGATGCATACTAGGGACAATTTAGTTTTAACAGATTTTTACCATTTTGCCACTCATAGGTTTTTATTTATTGGCTGAAGACACTGAAAAACGAAAAACTGCACTTTTTAAACACACAGGCTTCAGTAAACTTTAATTCTCGCTTAACAGTTAACCCTTATGAAATTAGCATTCGTTTCTCACGTCCATGATGCCTTGTTTCTTTTTGACTCATTACTATGCATAGGCAATAGTTATTTTTTACACAAAAAACCTGCCATAAAATGAAATTACTTAATTCCAGATGTAATAGATGGTATCAACGAAAGTTTTTCCGAAATTATTAACTATTTATGACAGCCAGCTAGATAGATATAGCTTTTAAAATCAATATAACATGAAGTTAACGTCTAATTATTATCAAAGGAAGACATTATTCATTTCCAGCTACCTACCAATCAACGTAATTTACTTTGCTCGCTAAAACAAAAATGAAAATAACGGTGTTGAAGAGGATGGAGATATATTTGTGTCGCCTAGAGTCAAACGATAATGCTCTTAATCTTACCAACTAATATCATATTGGTTATCTCTCTCGGAAGCCTAAATAATTTTAATTTGCTATATAATGTTGTGTCTGTATTTCATCCGCGAATTCGCAATGATTTCGATTTCGGAGTGAAGATTCCAGACCTCCTGTAATGTTGTCAGTACTGTCAGGGTTCTTGCTGGATTTTTTCATATTCCTGTCTTAATTCAAATTCTCCAATCGGTTCATTTATTTTTTGCAGCTACATTATTTACGTTTCCTATTCAGCAGAGTCTCTAGTTGTACTATTTCTTCCTCTACGAAAGTTTTTTTTTCAGTAGTGAGTTAAACCCGAATATGTATTCACGCCTCACGCATGACGCCTGTGAATAAAACATTAATAGCGGCTTGTCCTTGTCGAGTACTAATATCCTTACATAATCCGAAGTGAATTTCCCGATTATCTTCTTTAAATTCATTGCTGTTGTGAATTATTTAAAAATATATGATTTCTTGCGAAATTATACCTGTCTCATGTATTGTACTGTGTCGATATTTGTAGCGGATCGTTTTCAATTATGTAATGTCTGGAATTAATTTCAGCTTCTCTTGGAGCTGGTATTAGAACAGCATCTTCAGTCTGCTTCCACTTCTCGTCCAATTTTCCTTCCCGTTTTATTGTTTATTATGTTCTTTCATAGTTCTTTGCTGTTTCTTTTAGTTTTCGTTTTAGTTTATTCAATGTTCTTTTATGTTATTTATTGTCACTAGTGTCGTTTAATCTTGTCATCCCCTGATCTTGTCTTAACGGAGCGAACGAAGTGTCCGTTTCAAAAAAATCATCTAAGGTTAGTGGATATATTTTACTTTTCAAGGTTTGTCGGTGAATTCCTTATATGCACGAATGACAGAGAGGAACCTGAATAATGTATCAGACAAAGTAGAAATGACAGCAATAACTTTTGCATTCTTAATGCGGCGTTAATGACACATACTACAAGATCGGTCATAGATGTCCTGTCAAGAAATTTACCAGAATTTTTGCACGTAGATGAAAGACAGAAGACAGAGATATACATCTATTTCGTTTGTCATGCCTCCACTATTCAGTTGCCTAAAATCATCTGGTTTTATAACGACGTCTCGTTTCTTACGTCCTGTTCATATCGCGACTATACAACAATAAGACTAGCATTCAGCACATCGGTACTTATTTAGAGCAACAAAGGGTTTTCACTTGCCTCTGTAGTAAAACGTTTCGACGCCGTATGACTAGATGAAAGATTTATTGCCCATTACCGAGCTTAATGAATAGTAATAATTCATCTGTTTGATCTTTGTTAGGTTAGAGTTTTTATGAAAGTACACGTAATTTTTTCGTTGTTGCGACGTTAGCGAAACAGAAACCGTACACAAAGCAAAGAAAAAAAAAAGAAAAATAGCGAAATCCGCGTTTCATTTCACGTAGCAACGCAACCTTTACGCATCTCTTGTAAGTCAACAAGTTTTTATACTTTTGACCTGACCTTTGTCGTCTGGCTGTTCTCAGAAAATCTTGAGTCAGGCCGTGGTCAGCGTGCACATCGAGGTGCGGCCGAAGTACCTCGTCCCCGACACCAACTGCTTCATCGACCATCTGGACAGGATAACCATGATCACAGCATCTCACGTCTACACCCTCATGGTGCCCATTGTCGGTAAGTGCGAGGAATGTGTGCGATTGCATAACTCTTTTCTCTCTTGGGTGAAAAATAAAAATCGCATTGTGCGTGCACCTGTCGAGTGCAATGACATTGACGGGCGCGTACTTACACTTTCCGACTTGGTCACGGTATTGTGGCGGCTCCGCGTAACTCGTTGTTTTGATGCAGTGCTCAGCGAGCTGGAGGGCCTGAGCAGGGGCGGCAAGTCGCCGGCGCCGTCGACGAGGAGCTCGCTCGATCCCCAGCACGTTAAGAAGGTGGCGCAGGCGGCGAAGAAGGCGCTCGCCTTCCTCAAGAGCAGGCCTCAGGCAGTGAAATGCGTCACGACGAAGGGGGCGGTTCTTTCTTCCACCACGTTCACGACGGAAGACGACTCTACGTTGGACGCGACGTTCAAAAACGACGATAAGATTTTGGCAACGTGCTTGGTGCTGAGCAAGGGACATAGGGAGCAGCAAAGCGGAAGCGAAGGTAAGTTGCGGGACGAAATTGAGAACTTTCCGAACGACTACGAAACAGGTGTCCCATATTAAATATTGAAAACCTGTGATGATCAAGTTAACGCCATTGTTGATAGCTTGAACGGAGAGGCTTAATTTAGTAGATAAATATACGCGTGTTTTAAATTGCAACTTGTATTTTTTTTTAATATATTTCGCTAGAAAACAAACATTTTCAATACATTAAAAATATAAAATTCATTCAAATATAAAAAAAAACTTGAGTAAAGTATTATTTTACAAAAAATTTCACATGTTTCAAAAACAATTATGTAAGCATAATATTTGAACAATTTTCATTCACACTGAACATAAAATTTCTGATTAGTTCGCGAGTTGTGGTTCTTCGTTCAATGTCTTCCTCTGTTTCTTTATTCAATATTTTCATCTATTCTTTCATTCAATCTCTTCACTTTTCTTCATTCTGTCTTCATCCATATTTCGTTCTTCTAGTTGTGACTTCCTTCTAGCTTCATCTATCTTTTACTTCTACTCTTCACAAAATGAAGAAATAGATAAAGTCATAATGAAGAAATAAATTAAGACAGCATGAAAACATATGATCTTCATAGATTTCATCATTGTATGTCTTCATCCATATTTCGTTCTATTTTTCCATCATCTCTTCATTCTGTGTTCATCTGTCTTTTCACATAATGAAGAAATAGATGAAGACATAGGATCTATTCTTCATCTATATTTCGTTCTATTTCTACATCTTATGGCTTCTTCCTATCTCTTCATTCTGTCTTCATCCATCTCTTCACAAGAAGATACATACCGCAGAAAAGTAGCACACAAGAGCACATATCACATAGGAGTGCACACAACCGCACACTAGAGAGAGATAGAGAGAAGAGAAGATAGAGAGAAGAGAAGACGAAATAGAGAGGGAAAATGTGAAAGAGATGAAGAGAGAAGATATAGAACAGAGACGGTGATGTAGATGAGAGAAAATATGGAAGAAATACATCAGTGGAGAGAAAATAAGATAAGAAAGAAAGATAGATAATGCATGTTTACGCGTAGAGTACACAACATCAGATCTAATCTGTAGTGCTGGCTCACAAAATAGATAACATCAGCTTTTTCAATAGATTGAGAGAAGATAGATGAAGGAAGATATAGAAGAGGGGGAAAATTATAGATGAAGGAAGATACAGAAGGGGAGATTATAGATGAAGGAAGATATTGATTATAGATGAAAATGATATAGAAGAGGAAAATTATACATGAAGGAAGAAATAGGGGAAAATTATATATAAAGGAAGACAGATGGAAGATATAGAAGAGGGCAAATTATATATGAAGGAAGATATAGATGGAAGGTATAGAAGAGGAAGAATTATATGAAGGAAGACATAGATGGAAGATGTGGAAGGGGGAAATTATAGATAACGCAAGATATAGATGGAAGATATAGAAGGGGATAATTAGAAATGAAGGAAGATATAGATGGAAGATATAGAAGGGGGGAAATTATAGGCGATGGAAGATATTGAGGGAAAAAATTATAGATATAGGCGAGAGAAAATTATAAATGAAGAAAGATACTGGTGGAAGAAATATAAGGGAAAAAATATAGGGAGTATTTTCCTTCATCTATAATTTTCTAGATGGAAGAAATAGAGGGGGAAATTATAGATGAGGGAAGATATAGAAGGGGGTAATTATAAATGAAGAAAGATATAGAAGAGGGAAAATTATAGATGAAAGGAGATATAGAAGAGGAAAAATATAGATGGAATATATAGAACGGTGGAATTGTATATGAAGGAAGATATAGAAGAGGGAAAATTATATATGAAAGATATAGAAAGGAGGAAATTTATACATGAAGGAAGAAATTGATGGAAGATATGGAAGAGGGAAAAATTATATATGAAGGAAGATATAGATGGAAGATACAAAAGAGGGAAATTTATATATGAAGGAAGATATAGAAGGGTGAAAAAATATAGATGAGAGAAGATATAAAAAGGAAAAATTGTAGAAGATGGAAGATATAGGATGAGAGGAAAATTATAGAGGCAGGATGATATAGATGGGAGATGTAGAAAGGGGGAAAGATAGATGAACGAAGATATAGATCGAAGTTATATAAGGGGGAAAATATAGATGAAGGGTGATATAGATGGGAAATTATAGATGAAGGGTGATATATATGGGAAATTATAGATGAAGGAAGATATAGAAGGGAGGAAATTATAAATGACGGAAGATATAGAAGGGGAAAGATATAGATGGAAGATATAGAAGGGTATAATTATAGATGAAGGAAGATATAGGCGAGAGAAAATTATGTATGAAATAAGACATAGATGGAAGAAATAGAGGGGGAAATTATAGATGAGGGAAGATATAGAAGGGGGGTAATTATAAATGAAGAAAGATATAGAAGAGGGAAAATTATAGGTGAAAGAAGATATAGAAGAGGAAAAATATAGATGGAATATATAGAAGGGTGGAATTGTATATGAAGGAAGATGTAGAAGAGGGAAAATTATATATGAAAGACATAGATGGAAGATATAGAAGGTACTGATGGAAGATATAGAAGGGGAAAGATATAGATGGAAGTTGTAGAAGAGGGGAAATTATAGATGAAAGAAGATATAGAAGGGAGGAAATTTATACATGAAAGAAGAAATTGATGGAAGATATAGAAGGGGGGAAAATTATATATGAAGGAAGATATAGATGAAAGATACAGAAGAGGGAAATTTATATATGAAAGAAGATATAGATGGAAGATACAGAAGAGGGAAATTTATATATGAAGGAAGATATAGAAAGCCGAAAAATTATAGATGAGAGAAAATATAAAAGGGGGAAAATTGTAGATGAAGGATGATATAGATGGGAGACGTAGAAGGGGGGAAATTATAGATGAAGGGAGAAATGGATGAAAGATATAGAAGGGGAGGGGGAATAATAGATGGAGGAAGATATAGATCGAAATTATAGAAGGGGGAAAAATATAGATGAAGGATAATATAGATGGAAAATTATAGATGATGGAATGAAGAAATAAATGAAGACATACAATGAAGACAGGATCTTCATCTATTTCCTTAATTGTACGTCTTCAACCTTATTTCGTTCTATTCTTCATTCTGCCTTCATCCATCTCTTTACAAAATGAAGAGATAGATGAAGACACGATTTTCATCAATTCTTCCTTCTAAGTATGTCTTCATCATATTTCCTACTATCTTTTCATCTTGTGGCGTTATTCTATCTCTTCATTCTTTCTCTTCAATTTCTTCGTCTCTTACTCCTGTGTCTTCATCTGTTTCTTCATTCTATGTTGTCACCCTTCATCTTGTGGATTCATTCTATCTCATCATTCTACCTTGATCCATTTTTCATTCTATCTAACTCTTCTTTACGATTGTGCCCACGTCGATTTCAAATAATATCCTTCGTATTTGTAATGTACGACTAAACTTCCTCCTTCAAACTGAAAACAAGGATGTTTACAGAATTGCAATATATCTTCGTTCTAAGGATATAGAGGGTTGCGGTCGTTTATCCGCATATTTTTTAACGAACACCGTTATCGAACGAAACGATAAATCTGTGCTTGTGACCTCATATTTTAAAATTATAGAATGCAAAAAAATAACGTTTTGGTATTAAGTTTCTGCGGTTTGAAAACAAAAAACCTGAAACTTAATGAAAGAAGTGTTGTCCTATTCGAACTCGCGATCTAAATATTAATGGTGAAGATTATGAAAATTTATTCATCTCTGCTGGCATCAAAATTCCGGTTGAAAAGTTAAAAATATCTATCCTGAATATTATAAATTAGCGCGCGAGAATAGTTGTTCGTAAAGTTAACGGAACTTCAGGTTTTTTTTACTGAAAAGGCCGATGCAGTCAAATACCGAGTGACCGTGAAATACTTGTGAAAAATTAAACGCGACGTTATCTATCCATAATTTATATTATACTAATATGGAATAAGGTAAAAAAAATATGTGTAAATATACGAAAAGGAATCAAGGATTAGGTCAGTGGGCGAAAAGTTTGTTGGTCTAAAATTGACTGTGTTGAAATTTTGTTTTTGGCAAGTATTTCATGCGTGGGTGGTATGTGGTGGTCGGCATCTAGGCAAGACCAATAATCGTGATTTTTCCCCAGATGAACCCAAGAAATTAGTTAGCGAAGTGGTACTATTGACAGACGACCGAAACTTGCGTGTAAAAGCGCTAGCGAGGGACGTGCCCGTGAGGGAGCTTGTAGATTTCATGCAGTGGGCCGGACTAGGATGAACCTCGAAGAATCCCAGGCGCTAATAAGAGCAGTCACTAGCAAAAAGGGCGAGATCTCGAGATAACGGTGAGTTTCTGGGAGTCGGATCTGCGACGAGTCGACAAAACAGTGTGGAGATTGTGTTTCTGTTTTGTTCGTCTAGTGTAGACCTACCCTAAGATCTCATCGGTTCGGTTTTTGTCTAAAGTTTTTCCATTTCCAGATTTATGACCTACGTACTTCTCACTTCTAGACAAGAATTCATGTACTTGTTTAAGTTAAATTAATCGTTATTGTAGTTTATTTAATTTAGCGTGGGGTTTGACGTCACCTCTTTAACTGTTTTACACGTTCGATCGGGTTGTGAGATGTTGCATTCCTCGTGTCTCCCGATTAGGTTGTTAACACGCATACACACAATACAAACAAAATTAGCGCATCGTGCCATTTCTATTTTATTTATGTAAATTGATTGTTTTTTATATACACAGTATTTACCCCCCTCAGATCTTGGGTTTTATTTTTCTCTAGCACCTAGTGAGATAATGTATGTACTTATTTTAACTTTTTTTATATATCACAATATATAAAAATCTCTGTCTTTATTCTTAATATTTTTTTGTTTGTTTTTTTTTTATTAACGATTAAGAGATAAACTTACATACTGTATTTAGGATTTATACAAGTAAATTATATGAACTGTTGTTAATTATTGCAATTGTTTTGCTCAGGAATTTATTGTACATAAATAAATAATATGATTACGTACATTGTGTTGTTCTTCCCGCTGCCATTTATTAGTGAAACGCTATGACCGAGTGTTTGTGTTAGCAATCAGTCTGTGGTTGTGTGTAATTATGGTTTATTTATAGTCGCTAGATGTTCAAGAGGACAACCGCACGTCTCATGCAGCGGTTCATTCATAATGTGCGTCGCTTTAATTGTCGCTTTTGTCGTCCGACAGCCGATAGAATTCAGCTCTATTCAGCAATTAATTGGCTAAATTTGAAACAGCGACAGCGACACCGTCGCACTGTCGAAATTTTTTATCCGAATTAACGGACGCGTTCCGAATTTAATCGAAGGATTTCCCAGTCCATATTTCGTGAAACAATGCGCCTTCTCTCGGTCGAATAGTCTTGCATAATTGCTGTATTGAAAATTCGCAACGCGTCGATTTATTGCTGAATACTAATAAGTGTGTTGCTGAGATCTAGACATCTACACACATCACTTCTTGTCGTATTGGATATGCGATTCGAGTAAGATCTATGCGTGAGAACGACGGAACCCACTTGACGCGAACACCACGCCTTGGCGATTTCGATGCGGCGCATCGGAAGTGAAGATGGCTGGAATTTTTCGGCACCAGTTTCAAGGACTTTTTAAGTCGACTGTTGGTAACCGTTACGAGAATCAACAGATTATCTGTATATTTCAGGAAAAAGTGAAGCCTAATTGTGTTTCGTGATCATAACGTATGGGGGACAGCATTTTTAGAATTATTTCTCCGCAACAAATTGAATGATTTTATTGACATGAATAATTAAGACTAATAATCATAATGTTAATGAATTCCCGTAATTTCAAGGAATTTAGATAATCGAGCAAATTAAATTAAACGATGACGTAATGCATTAATTTTCGAGACGTACATCCGGTGTGAGCAGTGTAAAAATTTTGTATAAAAATGTCGAGAAGAATAAAGCAATTTTTACAATGTTCTCATTAATCTGTTTCTCGTATTTTCTTAAGTCGATTTGCTATGTCAATGTTGATCTCGTGTTAAAATAATTCCAGCGTTTGTGTAGTGTTGCAGTGGTGTTGTTGTGTTGTTATAGTGCTGTAGTGTTACATTATTGGTATTGTGGTTACGATTGTTGTTGTTGTTGTGGTAATGTTGTGTTGTTGTACCACTCGAATGAAATGTGGTCAGTTGGGTCCTAAAATGTAGTTTGGGCATCAAAATGTGCTAACCCGTTTCCATCCAAAAAAATTGTAAACTGATATTAAAAAAAAAAAAACAACTTATCCCGGCGCCTCCACCATTTGCAGGCATTTTTTTTAATTGAATATTTTATTAAAAAAAAATTTAGCAACTAGACAAGGTAAGTCAGTTAAAAACGGACACCTCGAATAACTTCTTTATTTTAGAAGATAGAAGGCAGGTGGGTGGGCGGGGCTAGCACTTGCTAAGAAAAAAACTGATTTTCGAAAATAACATATTCTCTAAGAAAATAGAGGGAGGGTAGGCGGGGCTAGCTAGATAATTGAAGCTCATTTTTAAACCGAATTTTCCGGAGGTTTCTTAATCAGGGACTATAACTCGAATCAGCACGTTAAGGTCTACATTTCAGATTTTTTTGAGAATTTTTCCAAACACTCAATTTTGACATTTTCGGAAATTTTTATATTATTTCCGAAAATTAGTTGAAGACATTTTCTTGCAGATTTCTACATCCAGAATTCATTTTTGGCTTCATTTCTTCAAAGATTTCTACCGTTTTTGCAAAATCGCCAGTTGAAATACAGCAATTTTTATAGTTCCATCAAAATAGCTCGGTATGAAATTTTTGTAGATAAAAAAAGAAATTATTATTAATTTTTGTTTTAAAGATGTACTGTAGTTTTTATATATCCACAGAAATGTTTAAAATTTGTTTCTTTTAGACAATAGCGAGTTCAGTACAGGTCAGATCACGTTAGGTTAAGGGGATGTTTGCTAAAAGAAAACTGTCGGATTTTTAATTTTGCCGTGTTATTGTCTTCACAAGAAGTTTGCGTGTAGAAAAATAAAGACGAGAAGTAGTGGTAAGCTGGTTGAACTCAGGAAAGCTGGGGTGTAATTTATGACACCCATAATCTCTGGTAACAGTTCGGCACCCGCTTTTCGTGTATTATTGTTCGATTTTCGTTCGTCAACAGTTCAATTTTCATATACGCATTTATAAAAATGACCACAAGAAATTAATAAGAAATAAAAATCTGAATGTGTACAAAAATGAACTTCGAAAAATTAAGACAACAAATAGTAAGTTGAAGCAATTATAATTTAATTGGAAAACTGATTGATTTACAACAAAAAACGCACTCAGCCCAAAAATTATTATAAATGCAGTTATTTTTCGGTCACAAAATAATCACTTTCGCAACACTTAAAAAAATTTGTGGCAAGTAAAACAAAATCAATTTTAAGTGTCCAAATGGTTCTACTGAGTGTGTCCCTATACTAAAATGCAACGAGAAAATCACCAATTTCTGCATCAGTACGTACCTATACATATGTCATGATGTAATGCAAATTATAAAATAAACTACAGACCAATAACTTGTTTCGTTTTTATTTATGCGTATTTATAAATATACCCAATTGTTTTACTTAAAACTAAGTACTTCAATTATTTGGTTTACATATTTCAATTATAACTGGTTCCCTAGCTGGTTGGTATCGGCTAAGTTCAAACTAAAGAGGTATAGAAACTACCTGTGTATACTGAATGGTTATCCGGCTAATTATAAGGTTTATGGTAATATTTTATTCAACAAAATAAAATTCTTTCAGGTAATACACTTTGATCTTTGACAAAAAGCCGAGAAACAATAGGGTTGGTGATTATATAAAGTAACAATAATAAAATTTCTATTAGTAACATTGACTTACACTTTATGTAAGTGTATAAAAACAGCGGCGGGTCTAAAAAACAATAATATTTATATGTACAGAAATTAGGAAATAAAAGCATAATACTAGTAAAACTAATCAAATGATGATTAAACTGCATTTTTTGTCTGTCGTTTTAGTAGGTTTTTGACATAATAATTCTGATAAAAGTTTTTTCGACTTTTTCGTGGCTTTGAAAATGGAATCTTCGACTTTCGTCCCATTTCAAAATTTACTCTTTATATATTTCAATGGTCACAACGAGTTCACTAACTACACTGAAGTAAATTTATGCAAAGATTAAATTTGTCACCGAAAAGATGTCGGAAGTAATAAATTATCCCATCGGTCCAAGAACGTTCGTTGGGTGTTATGCCCCGATCCGAGAGAGACCGCAGTAAGAGACAGCAAATGGAACGAATAAAATACAGCTTCAAACATGATCAGTTTTAAATCAAAATTATGAAGTTTTACAAATCGGGCATTTTTTTTTCTTTTTGAAATATCATAGTAAACACTTCAAAGAATGTCCATGACTTACTTTAATGTGAATTTTATAACTATAGTCGGCACAATCGGACCTAATATTAGCGTGATTTTGAGCATATTTGCGATTTTATTGGAGCAAAACAGGTCATTTATTCTCCAATTTTATAAGTTCCGGACACTAATAGCATATCAAAGATATTGTAAAAAAAAAATTGGGTTCAGATTCCAACTAGTTGTCTAGTATTTGTGAAACAAAATCTACTGTAAATTCACTGAAAACTAAACCGATAACATCACCTTAAGTACACAAAATAAGACATATTTTATAGCAAATAGTATACCACAAACATAATTAGCCCCGCTCACCCACCCTGCCTCTATTTCAGTGATTGATCTTATTCGGTCCGAATGAAATGAATGATCTTTTGTTGAAAAGAACTAAAATTAGTCTATAGGATGAGAAGAACGGGGTGGGCGGGGCTAGTACTTAATAAGATAAAACTGACATACCTTCCAAGAAAATAGAGGGTGGGTGGGCGGGGCTAGTATTTCATAAGATAAAACTGCTTTTGACATTTTCGACCATTTTTCACACATTTTCGATAATTAGCTAAAGACATTTTCTTGTAGACATCGACATCCAGAAATCAATGTGGAAAACGACGTAGACTTGAAAAAATAGAGGATGGGTGAGCGGCGTTAAGATAAAACTGATTTTGACAAATGACATACCGTCTGAGAAAGTTATAATAAAATTTTTTCAACATTTGCGTTTCGAGTCAGCGATTTGAGGTTCGTCATAATTTAATTTCGTTAATACGAATGATTTATCACAGATTGGAATTTTTATCTATTTAAGTTTAAGTAAGCATAATGACGAAGTGCATTTTTTCTAGAAAACGTTGGTATTTTTCAATATTTTTGCAAATAAGTTCGTTCTCAGAGCTAGGAATTTGTTGCAAACGACTAGGTAAAATACGCGAATTTAGACGTAGTGATAATTTTTTAACAATTTGTGAAAAATTTTATATTGATATTTTACCGGCGAAACGTTATAAAGACAGTGAAATGAATTATAAATAACAAAAATTGAGGTACATTCTTCACGAAATTCTTGATCAATAACAATTAGATTTTCTGCCATAGGAAAAAAAATAGACAGTTTTAATTTGTTTGTGTTTCTAAAATTTAATTTTTTGGGAAAAAATTTCCATGTGAACTCCTAAAAACGCAAGCGCCCCTATATAATTCTTTCGATATTTTTGTAGATAACGCTAACCAAAATTTGTCTAATCATCCCCACCAATAATGTGATGACGTCACTTCAAAATTTACATAGTAAATAACTTTTAAATTATATAAAATAACGTCCAGATTTTTGGAAAAAATTTCGAAATTATAAAACATTATTTTTGTAATTTAATTTTGAATCCGCAAAACCGAATCCTTTGAAATCTTGCAGATGTTTTAAAGTTATGATAAGCATAAAAAATTTTCAATCAAAATATGTATATTTGTTTATCCCTTCCAAAAAATTGATGACGTCAACTCAAAATTTTGCCGAATAACTCCTCTCTAAAATGTCCGAAATATGATGAGTCTATATTTGATTTATCATTCCATTCATATTTTTTAGATTTGCTTATACAGGGTGTCTCAGAAAAATTAATGACTGAGTCAGTTTATTTTATTATTAATCAAGAATTGCAAAACTGAATACTTTGAAATCTACCAGACGTTTTGAAGTTAACAATAACTTTTTAATCAAAATGTATCTGTTTATCCACCCCAAAAAAGTGATGACCTGAAACTTATTTTCATTGCTTTTTTTTAAGCAACGAATTTACGTATGCACGCGGACTATTATTCTTCATTTGCAAATTTAGTATCATTACTTTTGGCTAATAAATAAAAAAATATTCGAGGTATTCCCTTTTAGCTAATTCATCCTATACAAAGACTCAGTTTTTTTGATACCACAACAAAGTGCATATCTTTGTTTATTTGTCTACAAAATAGATGTGCAAAGAACCCTGGTACGATTTTTTTGGACCCTTGCATTGTTAAAGAATTTTAAGAAAACTGGAATAACTATGCTTATAAAACCTAGGTAAAGACCGACAAGAATACGTTAAAATATACAGGCTGTTCCATTAAAACAAAATCTGTGTGTTAATAATTTTAGTGTATACCACTCAAAAAACCGTATAACTTTGTCTCCGAATTTTTTTCTATTTTCAAAAATTAATGATATATCGAGGACCACACTTAGTGACCCACCCTGTATATCTTGATTTACTGTTACTGATCACCGAAAGTTGACTTGTAAGCGCATTCGTTTCGAATGCGATTTATACGTTAATCCGCCGACTGGTTATAAAACAAAAAAATTGATAGCAGTTTTTTAATACGGTCTCTCCGCGGGGTCTCGGTTTTAAACTACTACCGTTCAAATGGGTAATTCGGAAAACTTTTTTTCGGAGCTCAGAAACATCCTAATCAATTCAAATAAAACTTTGGGTGAATTTTTTGACACGTAGTCGTAGATTTTGCTCACAGGTTCTTGTTGAATGTTAATCGCTACAAGCACTGTAGAATAAAATTACCATCTTTATTAGAAAGACAGCAAAAATAACTTCTGCAAATGACACATATCGGTTGTGCTTCTGAGGTGAGGGAAGTTTGAGATAAATAGTTTTGACACATTTTGCTGGAAATATTTGAATTTTGAATGTATTATATGAAAATTGAGAAACGCTTCGAGAACAGACAGCATTAAAAATTGTTAACAATGCCAGTTTTATGTCCACAAAAAATTTACCTCAAGATCGTACTAATGTAAGGTTAAATGAATAAATTTCGAATAAACAAATAAAGCATTTGATTAAGTACTGTTAGTAACATCATCAAAACATACATTAATATCTGTTTAATAGGTATGCATTAAAAATTTGTCTTAATTGTTTTTAAATATTTAACGTCTTATCGTCTTCAAGGTTAATTTTTTGGATTTTTTTCTCAATCAAATGTTATAGTTCAATCAGTATTGTACACCCAAGGTAAAATTTTTACCAAAGAATGTGAATATCTTATTGACTTAAATCACCATAAATCTTCGATTTACATGTATTCAGCATTTTTTAGGCAGTAGGTACATAAATATTTGAGCTTCCACGAGCTTCAACGTATGTCCGTTGACGTAAGTATCATTAACAGCGCAATAGTTTCAATCTCGGCAAAATAGAACGCAACCGTTTACGCTTTTAGGTGAATTTTCTCGTTGAAGATCGCAGGATGACTCGCTTATATCGCAGACAAAGCCGTGCCCAAGCAATTGTTTTCAATTGACAGTCGAAAAATTTCGCGTCCGCAATAATAGGGCCTTAAAATTGAAAGAGAACTGGTTTGGCTGCCTAGCAGAAAAAAATCTATTTTCGAGTTGAGTGGCAACGCTAATAAAATTTGATTACAATGAAGATAGATAGTTGGTGGAATTAAAGTTCAGTGTACCTGAAAAGTGGAGACGTCATCGGCTGAAACTCGCACAGAATGTGTCGCATGCCCGCGTGATTGCAGGTGGCGCCGCCACTGCGCCATTGTTCGCAATTAAAATATTTTCATGTGTAATTGCGGTGTCGGAACGCGCCGCTACTGTTTTTCTCGTTGTTGCGAGAAAGTCATGGTTTCGTCGGGAGTCGATCTAACGGTAGCGCTCAGACCAGCGTGCCCTCAACCATGGATTGTCTGCTCGCATTATTAAATTATACACCTCGCCTAATGTGGGAAGGAAACGATTTGAAGCTCCATTTCAGAACGTTTTCGGTAATTGCATGTGAAAAAATTTGCCAATTTCGGTGCTTAATTTCTGGTAATTGAGGCCGCGGTGGCGAACGGCCAAGTTCAAGGACCATTGTGTCCAAACGGAAGAAATCGAAGAAAAGCCGCATTTTTCGAACGAAAAAATTCGTACTTGACTTGCGTCTTTGCCCCACCTTACCCTACATAGCGTTGCATAACATTTGGACAAGTTGATGACCGCCTTTGGCCCTCTTATTCGCTTTGATTAATGAACCCGCATCGATCTGACGTGAAAATGCGATCGACTCATTAAACATCCAATAAAATTTTGGAGAATTTACGATGGAATTCGTAATTCTAGGAATCATTTTTTTTTGCGCGAACTCTTAAATTATTGTTGGAGGAACAGTTCTGGTACGCCTCTCCTGCGGGGCAAATTAACCTCCGACCCCCCCACCTACGTTACAAGCTCTTAAAAACAAAACAGCCGTCTTTACTTCGGATGGGATACGTTCGATTTGGGAAAGAACAAGGTGCGATTTATTTAAATGTGATGTCATGAGTCTCTCGGGCATGATGGAAGCCATATTGGAACATGAAGGTGAAGGCCGACGATTTGCCTTGCTTGTGTTGATAAGCAACTTTTAGCAACGTCAAGAATAAAAATACACGAAGAGAAGTCTCAGAAGTAAAAAAAAAATAAAAACTAATTTTAATGGGATTTTACCTGCTGTTAACTCCTTTTTTGACCTATTTTCGATTTAACTGGATGCTTTAAAATAGGTCATCGTATCTCGTACTAATTTCGGTATTTGCAAAAACGAAGAATCAAAAGCAACAGTACCTTCTCATCATGGAGTAGCGCATCAAAAATCTGAAAAAAAAAACTTTTTTTAGAAAAATGAACCCATTTTTTATTATTATAGTTTAATATAAGACACGATGAACAAAGAACATCCTCAGGTTGGAGCTAAACCAGACGTCTTTCATATACAAATAATATGTCGATATAACTATACTTTACTAAGAGATTAAGTGATACTTTAATAATATAATATCCAAATATTAAATTTTCAAACGATTAATATTCTTTTGATTATTTTTTCTCTCCTTCCTTCGTTAAAAAACTGCCTTGTATTGACTTATCAATCTTATCATAGTTACTATGGTTGACAACCACGATGATTCTATTTAAACCTCGGCGGAGTATAAGAAATACTTATACATCGCCCAAACACACTGTCACAGAAATTAAGCCCCGGTAGTCGAAGGTTATTTACACATTATAAAATTTGATTTTGCGATTTTTGTCACATTGTGATAACTTCTGTAAAGTAAAAACCAGTGATATAAATAATACCCTCACAATCTGAACGCCCTATATTTAAAATAAATAATCAACGGGAAAAATGTATCCTGGGTAAATGCTTAATTTCAACTGTTTATGTTTATACTTCTCAACAATTCGACTATTAGCACGTTCAGATAACAAGCGTCAGCGGCGGCATTTGTGTTAAAAGAAAATGAAATTTGTTTGATTTTGTCTCCGCAAAACAGAGAGGAACATTTATTACACAAAAGTGTAAGATGACGTCATAATTTTTTGTTGAGTCCATAAACGAATGGTCAGCGATTAATTACCGTGCTTATGATAACCGTTTGCAAGATTTTAAAGTATTGTGTATTGCAATTTCAAAATTAAATTATAAAATGTTTTTATACAATTTAGAATTACTTTCCCAAAAATATGGATATAAAATTTAAGGAACATTTATTTATGTGGAAAAATTGTAAATTTTGGAGATGACGTCATCCCATTGTTGGTGGGGACGATTACACAAATTTTGTTTTTTCCATCTACACGATATTCCTGACGTCCATATAAAATTTGACAACAATTAGTCCATAATTTCGGAGATTGTCTAATAAAAATCAACACAGACAAGAGGCAGACAGACAGAAATGCGAGACCAAATTTTTCATACTCTAAGGGATCATAAAACGTCGTGAAAACATTACAGTACTTATTCTTCGGATGGACCCCATTACAATACTTCCGTAGTTTACGCTCGAGAAGTAAAAAATTGTAAAATCAATTAAACAGAATTTCATTCGTTCTAGAAGCACCATCCGACAAGTCTAGTTTGTTAGATAAATTATGAAATTTGATTATGTGAATTTTGTTTTTATGATATCCCGTATAAATTCAAATAAAAATAAATTGGAAATTAAACTAACGTCATCACATACTTCCCGAGCGTAAGCAAAATGTAAGGCCCGCCCACCCGCCCTATCTCAATTGTGATGAATTTTTCATTCGTTGTCAGACCTAGGAATGGAGCATAATTGCAAAATCTTATTTACCTACAAAAATTTACCATTTTGGTGATGTTTTAAGTTTCTTGTTGTGAAAAGAAGACTTCGTATATTAAGAAAAAAAAATTAGGATGTCGTCATCAATTTTTTGGGAGAAATAAACATATATTTTGATTAACAATTTACCATGCTTACAATAACTTTAAAACGTCTGCAAGATTTCAAAGTATTCAGTTCTGCAGATTCAAAATTAAATTGCAAAATGTTTTATAACTTTGATTTTTTTTCAAAAATCTGAACGTTTCGGGTAAAAAAACAACACGACTTCATAAACTGCATGTATACAATTTAAAACCTGTTTACTATGTACAAGTTTGAAGTGACGTCATCCATTATTGGTGGGGATGATTAGACAAGTTTTGGTTAGCGTTTTATCATCTAGGTGATATTCGTAATATAAATATAAAATTTGACAACAATCGGCCCAGTACTTTCGGAGATTAATAAAAATCGGGACGACAGACAGACGGATAGACAGACAGACAGACGGAAACGGGAGAGAAAATGTAAAAGTACACTCGATTACAATGGACGTATGTAAAACTAGAAGTACGGTTGTGTTCAGTAAAAATGGGAATTAAATTTTTTCACAATGTAAACAAACTGACTTAATTTATCATTTATTTGTCAAGTAGGCAATTATTAGGTTGGCACTTGCTTGTCAGACCTCACATAAACTAACCTATTTGTTCACAAAACTGGCATTTCACAGACAACCGTTCAATTTTCACGACGCTGTTGTTGCTTATTTTCTAACCGATTTGAATAAACGATATAATTTGACAACAATCGGTCCAGCAGTTTCGGAGATTACGTGTCTAATAAAAATGGATACATACACCAGACAGACAGACGGACGGAAACGAGAGACTAATTTTTCCTACTGTAGGGGTCATGAAACGTCGAGAAAACATAAAAGTGGGCATTCGTCCGATGGACTCGATTACAATGGGTCCTTCGCTTACGTTCGGGAAATAAAAACAAAAAACTAAAAAATTTAATATTGAAAAATCGAAAACTGGAGACTGAAAACTTGAAAAATCCAAAAACTGAAAAAAATTCACATTAAAAAAAAAGAAAAATGATAGAATCCGAACAGTGAAAAGCGAAAAATTTAAAAAATAAGTAAAATAAAAACCGAAACGAAAAATTGTATTTAGAAAAATGGAAAAATTGAAAAATTGAAAACTCGTGAAATTGAAAATTCAGTTAAAATTAAATTTGATTACTCCTAAAAAATGTAATCCTAGATTCTATTATTTATCAATATAAAATTCATCTTCTGTTTTTCAGACCCAATTAGAATGACTGATCAAAATGTAATGGGGGTGGGTGGGCGGGGCCACTTTTTAATTTGATTTAATCTTAGATTCTACAGTTTGTCAAAATAAGTCGGTGAAATAGAGAAAAGAGGTGTAAGTTTAGCTTTTTTCCAAAGAGTCATATAACCAAGCATTATTGTTCAGTCTTACCTTAGCAAGTACTAGCCCCACCTACTCGCCCTTTATTTTCTTAGAGGGTATGTTATTTTGGCAATATCGGTCTTATCTTGTCAAGTACTAGCCCCGCCCACCCGGCCTTTATTTTCTTAGAGGGTATATCAATTGGCAAAATCAGTCTTATCTTGGAAAGTACTAGATCTTATCAAGTTTTTTTCTCATTATGAAAGAGGTAGCGATCATTTTGAACGTAATGAACGTATGTTTTAAATTTCTTGTTGTGAAAAGAAGGCTACATATATTAAGAAAAAAAAGGCAAAATATGTAGTTAGTAGACAAATTTACAAATCTTACTAGTAGTTTCGGAAATTTTTCTCTAACAAAATCGCCAACAGACGCCAGAAAAATGGAAAGGGGAGACCTACTTTTTCATACTGCAGGAGTTACTAAACGTCCAGAAAACATGAAATTAGCTATTTGTCAGGTAAGCCAGAAAAACAAAATAATCGCGGAACCAGCTTAAAATATTTATATTTTACCAATAAAACAATTTTTCCTTTTTTCATTTTCTTTCATTATTCATTTTGTAATTTTTCAGTGTTTCGGTTTTATAATTTTTCGTTCTTTCAACTTTAATTTTTTCAGTTTCACGACTTCCAAATTTTTGAATTTTTCGTTTATTCAATTTTTCGAGTTGCAATTTTTCGATATTACAATTTTTCATTTTTCGGTTTTTCAGTTCCTCAACATTTAATTTTTCGATTTTTCAATTTTTCGATTCCTCAATTTTTCAAGTTTTTTATGTTTATTTTTCATTTTCCCGATTTTTTAATTTTCATTTTATGGGTTTACAATGTTTCGTTTTTTCCTTTTTTATTTTCTTAATGTGTTTTTCGATTTTATTTAATTTTTCAATTGTTCAATCTTTGATTTTTCAATTCTTGGATTTTTCAATTCTTGGATTTTTCAATTTTTAAATGTTTCAATTTTGCAATTTTTGGTTTTCCAGATATCCGCTTTTTCGATTTCCCTAATTTGGAATATTTCGATTTTAAAATACATAAATACAGTTTGTTAGAAACTTAAAAATGGAGAAAATTCACAATTTCTAAGTTTCCCAATTTTTAATATTTCGATATTTGCATTTTTCGTTTCTTTAAATTTTTCAAGTTCTTGATTTCCGATTTTTTTTCATTTTTGATTTTTCAGTTTTACAATTTTTCAGTTTTTCCATTTTTTTTATCGAAAAGTTGAAAAATCGAAAAAATAAAAATCGCAAAGTTGGAAAATCAAAAAACTGCAAATTGAAGAACTGAAGAAACGAAAAATTGAAACATTGAAAAACTAAAAATCGAGAAACTTAAAAATCGAAAAAAATTAATGAATGGAAAAATTAGAATACCCAAAATTATAAAATCGAAAAATTATAGAATCATAAAAATTCTAAAATCGAAAAACTGTATCATCCGAAGATTGGAAAACTGAAAAATTAAAGATCGAAAAATTGAAAAATTAAAAATCGAAAAGTTGAAAAATCGAATAAATGAAAAAGTTTTAAAATCCAATAATTGAGAAATGGAAAAATTTTAAAGTCGTAAAATTAAAAAAGTGATTTTTTTTTTTAATTATGATTATCATTAACATTTTTAAAATGAAAACTAGAAAAATTGCAAATAAAAAATTTAAGAAACCAAAAATAGAAAAATGAATAAACTGTAATCGTAAAATTGAAAAAGTTAATTATTTTAAAAATTATTATTATTAGTACATATTTAAAATGAAAAAAGAAATATTGCAAATCAAAAAATGAAGAAACGAAAAAAAAGAAAATTTAAAAATCCCAAAAATGTACCATTTGAACCATGTTTTAAGTTTCTTGTTGTGAAAACCTGGCTATGTATATTAAGAAAAAAAGCAAAATATTAACCCCGCCCACCCGCCCTATCTCAATTGTGATGATTTTTTTATTTTTAGAAACTCAGAACACGTTCAAAATGGTAAATTTTTGCAACACTTTTTTCTTCTACAAAGTTCTAAATTTTCTACAATACTTCGTATT